GTTTAAGCCAAATCACTAATTGGAGCCCAGGTATTACTAGTAATGCCCCTTCCCTCGTTTCGACTTCACCTCTTCGTGTCAGCCCTATCCCGTCAGAAGCTGGCCAATTAGCTTGCCCTCAGAAGCCAAATAGCCCATCTACATCAGTTGTTGGTTCTCTGCAACTGCTGCGTCCGGCCGACTTTTCTTCATCTTCAGTAGCAACAGCAGTGGAGTCGGTTTTATCACTTGAATTCCCATCTGTAAATGCTGGAGTGCTTCCTTCATCTGAGCCTTCAGATAACTTGTTCGATGACTGCCTTACTTTGAATGCCTTTGTTAACACAACGCAGCTTCCAGCAAAACAGGACGCCGACAGCTTTTTGAACGACAATGATATTGAAAGGGTGAACTCTGACGAAAATGAACCTCCGAGATTAAACGCACAGCCCGAGCTGGTCTTTGTTACTGAATTCCTTCCGGCTAAGCAACTGCAGTCGGGTCCAGCCTTCTCTATGGCTTTAGACGGGCTTATCTCTCACCAAGCCCCAAATCCATCCGAGTCGTCTAACGAACCGAGTACTTATGCGCTAAGGTAGGCTTCTTTCACTTTGACATTAATAATCCTAGTAATTGCCTTAGTCGCATTTTAAACTAATCCCAGGCTAAATCTTGCTTGAGAAGTGATTTTTATTTCTACCTTCGTTACTGTTTAGTCCAGAGTGCTGATTATTTTGTTGATTTCTATCGCTTTCCTTATTTTCCACTTACTGGTAGAGTCCCCATATTCGTCTAAGCCAGTGATTCCCAAAATGTGCGCCGCGGCCTCTATAGGCCGCCGCGAAATATTGTAAAAGCTTCAATTTGAGAAAATGTGTAGTGATTTGCGGACTCATCCATCACATTAGTTATTAAATATTTATTTAATGTTAATAAAGTAAAAAAATAATGAAGATGCATGAGTTTTTTTATTTTTATCTCTTACGAATAGTCATACTTAGGGTAGGGCGCCATGGCAAAATTTTTATTGAAAAAGGGCACCGCAACTAGGAAAAGTTTGGGAACCACTGGCTTAGTCTGTTCACGGCCCTTTAATTTTCTTGTAAAGGCTTAATTTATTTTGACGTTATCTAAGACGAATTCGATCATCTTTTGAATGGATTTGAGTATAGATCATGCGACCAGCGTGGTAACAAGACGCTTGTTAGCCTGCTCCTGCACTGCACCACCCCTCTTGGTGATGTTATGTCCCAACAAATGACCGTTTCACCTTTTTTAGACGCTTTTACCTTGAGCTAGACTATGATTCGCCAGG